AGACTTGCCTACACAGCTGCGATTGTCCAGCTGGAGCTGAAAACCTGTACTTTGTACTTTGCATACTAGACTTGTACTACAAAGTTGCGATTTTTCGAGCTGGAGCTCAAACCCTGTACTTCGCGTACTATACTTGCACTTCAATGTTGCGATCTTCCAGCCAGAGCTGGAAACTTGTACTTCACGTACTATACTTGCACTACAAAGTTGTGACTTTCCAGCTAGTGCTGGAAACCTGCACACTTCGCGCAATAGACTCGTACTTCAAATTTGCGATTCTCCAGCTAGAGCTAGTACTACAAAGTTGCGAATTTCCAGCTAGAGCTGGAAACCTGTACTTTGCGTACTAGACTTGTACTACAGAGTCGCAATTTACCAGCTGGAGCTGGAAAACTGCAAAGTCGCGATTTTCCAGCTAGAGCTAGAACCTGTACTTCGCGTACTAGACTTGTATTTTAAAGTCGCGATTTTCCTGAGCTAGAAGCCTGTTCTTCGCGTACTACAAAGTCGCGATTTCCCAGCTGGACCTGGAAACCAGTACTGCGCGTACTAGACTTGTACTACAAAGTCGCGATTTTCCAGCTAGAGCTATAGAACCCTGTACTTCGCGTACTAGACTTGTACTACAAAGTCGCGATTTTTCCAGCTAGAGCTAGAACCCTGTACTTCGCGTACTAGACTTGTACTAGAAAGTCGCGATTTTCCAGCTAGAGCTAGAAACCTGTACTTCGCGTACTAGACTTGTACAACAAAGTTGCGATTTTCCAGCTGGAGCTGGAAACTGGCACTTCGCGCTAGATTTGTCAAAGTTATGATTATCCAGCTAGAGCTGGAAACCTGTACCTCGTGCGCTAGGCCGCTGTACTACAAGGTTGTGATTTGCAGCTAGAGCTGGAAACCTGTACTTCGCGCAATAGACTTGCACTACAAGGTTCCAATTTTCCAGCGCGTGCTAGACTTCTGAGCGACACGTCTGAGCACAACTTCTGATTGACACTTCTGAGCGACACTTTTGAGCAACACCTGATCAACACTTCTGAACCGCACTTTTTCTGATCGACACTTCTGAGCAACACTTCTGAGCAACACTTTTTGTGATCCAGTTTTCTGAGCAACACTTCTGGTTGACACTTCTGACCGACATTTTTCAGCGACACCTCATCAACACTTCTGAACCACACTTTTTCTGATCGACACTTCTGAGCAACACTTCTGAGCGACACTCTTTTTGATCGACTTGTCTGAGCAACACTTCTGATCGACACTTCTGAGCAACACTTTTGATCCGCACTTCTGGTTGACAATTCTGATCGACAGTTTGGGCAACACTGCTGGACCACGATGAGCAACACTTCTGATCCGCACTTCTCGTCGACAGTTCTGAGCAACACTTCTGACCAAAACTTCTGATCCACACTGCTCATCGACACATCTGAACGACACTTCTGAGCAACACTGCTAAATTGACACTTCTGAGCGGCACTTCTGAGCAACACTTCTGATCGACACTTCTGACCGACATTTTTGAGGAACCCTTCTCATCAACACATCTGAGCAACACTTCCGACCCACACTTCTCATTGACACTTCTGAGCGACACCTTTGGCGACACCTGATCAACACTTGTGACCCCACTTTTTCTGACCGACACTTCTGAGCAACACTTCTGAGCGGCACTTTTTCTGCTTCTGATTGACACTTCTGAGCGACACTTTTGAGCGACACCTGACCAACACTTCTGAACCACACTTTTTCTGATCGACACTTCTGAGCAACACTTCTGGGCGACACTTTTTCTGATCGACTTTTTCTGAGCAACACTTCTGATTGACACTTCTGAGCGACACTTTTGAGCGACACCTGATCAACGTATCTGAACCACATTTTTTCTGATCGACACTTCTGAGCAACACTTCTGGGCGACACTTTTTCTGATCGACACTTCTGAGCAAAACTTCTGGGCGACACTTTTTCTGATCGACTTTTCTGAGCAACACTTCTGATCGACACTTCTGAGCAACACTTTTGACCCGCACTTCTGCTTGACACTTCTGATCGACAGTTTGAGCAACACTGCTGAACCACACTTCTGATTGACACTGATGAGCAACACTTCTGATCCACACTTCTCATCGACACTTCTGAACGGCACTTCTGAGCATTTCAGATTTCTGAGCAACACTTCTGAGCAACACTTCAAGCTGACACTTCTGCGCGACACTGCCGAGCAACACTTCTGATCGACACTTCTGACACAGACTTCAGAGCAACACTGCTGATTCGACACCTCTGACCGACAGTTCTGAGCATCACTTCTGATCGATGCTTCTAATCCACACTTCTGATCGATGCTTCAGAGCAACACTTCTGCGCAACACTTCTGATCAACACTTCTGATCCACGCAGCTCATCGACACTTCTGAGCAACACTTCTGATCGACACTTCTGAACGACAGCACTGGTCAACACTTCTGATCCACACTGCTGAGCAACACGTCCGACTGACACTTCCGAGCAACACTTTTGAGCAACACAACTGATTCGACAATGCTGATCGACACCCCTGACCGACACCTCTGAGCAACACTTCTGACCGATGCTTGTGATCAGCACTTCCGAGTAACACTTCTGGGCAAACGCCCACACACACACATGTAAGCGACGCTTTTGGGAAACACTGCACTCCTGAGCGACACTCTGAAAACACCTTTGAGCGACACGTCTGAGGCACACACAATCAGCAACACTGCTGCCTGAGCGACAATTCGAAGCAACATTTCTACACACATATCTCAGCGACATGAGCGATGCTCCTGAGCGACACTTCTGAGCGACGCCTCTGAGCAATGAGCGATACCCCAGAGCAACACTTTTTGAGCACACTTCTGATCGAAACTTCCGAGCAACAGTTCTGTTCGACACTTCTGAGCGACACTTCTGAGCAACACTTTTAACTGACACTTCTGAGCCACACTTTTGAGCGATACTTCTGAACCACACTTCTGATTGACACTTCTGAGCAACACTTCTGATCCACACTTCTGATCTGATTAACAGCTCCAGTTCTGAGCAACACTTCTAATCCACACATCTGACAACATTTCTGAGGGACACGTCTGAGCAACACTTCACACTTCCGTTCGACACTTCTGATCGACACTTCTGAGCAACACTTCTGATCGACACTTCCGAGCAACACTTCTGTCGACACTTCCGACCGATACTTCTGAGCGACACTTTTGATCGACACTTCTGAACGACACTTCTAATCGACACTTCTGATGGACACTTGTGATCGACCCTTCTGAACAACACTTCTGTCTCCAAATGCGCACCGCGCCACAGCGAGAGCGATTCGACCCACCAAAGTGCGCAGAGGGTTCACTTTGTGCGCTCAAAATATGCACCGCACCACAGCGAGAGCGATTTGACCCACCCAATGTGCGCAAAGGGTTCACTTCGCAGGCTCAAAATGCGCACCGCGCGGCGCGAGAGCGATTTGACCCACCCAAAGTGCGCAGAGGGTTTGCTTCGCATGCTCAAAATGCCCACCGCGCCACAGCGAGAGTGATTGACCCGCCCAAAGTGCGCAGAGGGTTCGCTTCGCGTTCGCAAAATGTGCACCGCGCCACAGCGAGAGCGCGCAGAGGGTTCGCTTCGCGTTCGCAAAATGTGCACCGCGCCACTGCGAACCACAGCGAGAGCGATTCGACCCCCAAAGTGCGCAGAGGGCTCGCTTCGCGTTCTCAAAATGTGCACCGCGCCACAGCGAGAGCGATCTCGCTGAGTCAAAAAGTGACGTGCCTGCCACGAAATCTACACCCAGGCGCCAAAGTACTGCGCCTGCCACGAAATTTGCACGAAAAGCTCCAAAGCGCCGCGCCTGCCACGAAATTCAACCAATACGCGCGAAAGTGCTGCGCCTGTCACGCAAACTAAGCTTGCCACAAACTCAAAATCATCCAAAGTGCGACACGCATCCAAAACTAGCACGGGACTGTGGCGCCAGAATGCTTCAGGTCCGCCAAAATGAGCCGATTGTACGACAGGGCCAACGAAAACAGCGCCGGCGCAAACACTATCGCGCGCCTGCCAAGCAGGACACCTCAAAACGACCGCCCCTGGATCGCAAATCCCACTGGCACGGCAACGAGAACATGCAGCCTTCCAAAACTGCGCCTGCGCAGCGAAACGACACATCCAGCTTGAGAAGCTACGATTCGCGCACAGGCCAACGAAAACAGCACATCACCAGTCATCAACACTCATGCATTCTGTGCTTCCCCACTGGGAGAGCCACAGCGCAATCATACGGACGGTTGCGAACAGTTGCGGACGGTTGCACAACATCCGGCAAACAAGGCTTCACCCCCAGACCCCCAAGATGAAACGAGAACCCTATGCTACGCATTCGGGAAAAATGGTCTGGCTTGAAAGTAAGTGGCTTTTATGTGCTGCCAAAGAAATTTGGGCAAACCTCGAACAGGGTTTATCATGCCAAACTTCCCAAAGATCGCACCTGTTTAAGTTGCAAAACATTGGAAAGCCGTTTTGAGCTGAATGTTTCCACATACCCTCCAATATCCTACGCGACACATAACTTGGGAAAGTCCTTTTGAACGCGAAAAGAAACTCGAACCACTGAAGAAACGCCAAATATCACACCATGCGTAGGTTGGAAACCCCTCTTGAACTGGAATTTGCACCATGTTTGAACTGGAAAACCCTTTTGAGTGGGATTTTGTTTCCAGGAACTGGTATGTGGCAGAATCAAGGACCCCCAAAATGATGGGCTTCCTTTTGCTTTCGAATTAAGTCAACCCCAAAAAGGGTACCTGCGTCAAATAGGACATTCAAAGAGAGAGGCGTTCCTGTAGATTCCTCTTGAGACCAACCAATGGCCAAAAGGGTACCCACGAGCTCGCTTTTTGAATGCGCGCAAAGCCACATATCACCTTCGAGCTCACCACGCCTTAAGCCACGCCTTCACCCAACCCAGCTCAGGCCGGGGCCCAACTGGGCACCGAGCACTTCAGCTCCGGCATGGCCAAGCGGAAGGCGTGCTCCCCCAAGAGGTTGCCTCCTACCCCAAGCCCCACGCCCCCCGCCCCCCCTAAACCCCAGCCACCGCATTTCCAAAGATGAAAAATACTCCATGGCCTTGGCCCACGAAAAAGGTGGACTCGCAAAAAACGAGATCTGAGGATGATGTGTGAGATTTAGTCTATTCAGACTATCCTAGAATATTAAGCTGATTTGGAGACCCCAAATAGCCAATATCTCAACCACAAATATACGTGTATGTACATGAATGATTGCACCCCGGTTGAGATTCTGCTTCTACTACCCCGGCTCAGCACGAGCCCCCCCCCTCATGCGGGTTCCTTGCTGCACTCTTAGGTTGGGGTCAACAAGCGGTATTGTCTGGGGGCCTGGGGGGTCCGTTTGGTCGGCCAGATCCCCAGCATCACCAGCTTTGCTCGGACCTAGGCCTGCCTATTGCCTTTGGGTTGAGTTCAGAGTTGCTTCTTGGGTTTCTTCGTGAATCGCATTCGGCTCGGCAAAAGACTGATATTCAGGATGCGTCGGATTTGTGCTAGGTGTGCGGCTGGTTTTGCAGTGGTTCTGGGCAAGTTTTGGCAGCTTGGGCAACGCCCCACACCCCATCCCAAAGCAGCTCAAAACCCGCATGGCCACAAGCAGCCCTAGCCAACCCAAACCGACCCAAAGATAACCTTAAACCCACCCAACAGCATCCTGGATATCAGCCTTTGCCGCCTAATGTGTACATCTTAAGAACAAGCAGCTAGTGGTTGGAAAGACTTGATTATATTTATAGGAGGACAGGCCAGCGTGTGAAAACAAATCCTTTGAGAACACGTACATGGAGAATGCAGGATTTGGACTAGGATTTGCAGAACAAATACTGCGCAGTTTGCTAGGAGACACGTCTGTTGGAAAAATGGGATCTGGCCAAAATTCCGGCAACATTGCTTAGATTGTGTAGGCTTGTTTTTGGACCGAACCAATCTATGCAAATTGCAAAAATACTCTACGAGTATACCTTCTAAAAGACAGGTAGTGTTGGGGGAGAGCTCCTGCAAAACATGCTAAGAACGCAGATTAAGGAAACTTGCTGAGTATTGAAGAGAACCAGCTCGTGCAAAATGATAAGTGTCTACCTTGACAGCAGAAACCACGGAGAGAAATCGTCCAAGCCTAGCTAGTCTTTTTTTCAAAGTTGAGCAAAATGAAGGTCAACCATGACTGAACGTTTCTCACCAGAACATGAGCTCTCAGCTTGTGGATGGGAAATGAGATGATACATGCACTGATTCCGCCCCCTTCCTGCGATTCCCTGCAAGGCCTTCTTCTACTATTCTGGCTATTCTGATAGTACCAAGAGATCACCAAAACAGAACAAACATATTTAGGGACATTTGGAGCACCTTAACATAGCATCCTAGGCCTTGGACAGAAGCAATTCGTGCCAAATGTTCCTAGACCAGCCACGTTTGGGGAAACGTCTGACTACTCAAACCAGGATATGCCCAAAACTAGACAGGTACTGAGGAGAATTCGGGGCACAGACACACTAAGCTTCTCGGATTGATCCTGCCTAAAGGCTTCAATGGATGACATGAGCGTCAGAAAAACCCGCAAAATGAGTCCTCCATCCGTATCTTGGCAGCTCAGGAGCTGGGCGCAGCTCGTGGCGCCACCAATAAAGAACAAGGTGAGCGCCTTGATCGCAAGGCTGATACCTGGCGACTTCTCGTGGGATCCAGATGCAACACGTGAAGTTGCCGACCGAAGGGACTACTTGGTCCGGAAGTTAAAAGCCTTGCGCAGCCCGGTAAAACCTGGGTGAAACCTGGGTCATACTCGATACCTGGTAAGGATCGCGGTTGCGACCCGAGAATCTCTTCGAGGAAAACCAGACCTGTCCTGTTTCTCCGCCGGGTTTGCTTTCATCCTGCGATCAACCTCAAGGTGCAAACAGTTAGGAGGAGGAGTGTTGTCCATCGCTCAAAGTCAAAAACTGTCAGTGGGATATGCGAAAATCCCCAACTCCAAGGTCTAAAAAGGCCTAAGAAACCGTACTGGGGAGACCCGAGCTATGTGCATTTGAGTCACAATCAAATTGTCCATCCCTTACTAACCTACGACAAATACCAGGCTCCCTTGTTGGAACACTCAAAGGCAAATCATACCATGGCTGAACATGCCACGCGGGCAGGGGGTACCTATTTTGGGGGTGGCTTAAAGGGAGACCAAAAGGAGAACCACCAATTCGGGGTCGTTCCCCCTAAGAAACGACGAGCCGCGTGCATTTGGGGGGTTGAGCAAAAGGTTCTGTACATGGGATGACCATTGGGGAAGACCGCAAAAAACACGATATTTCCCAAATGGGAAAAGATACCCATGCACAGTACGGTTGCTCCACTTGTCATTTTTGTTAAAGGACCTTTTTGATCAAGACCCAAATATCAGGCCTTACACTTCCAGTTGTGATTTTTCCAACCCTGGAAAAAATGAGAAAATATGTCCAGTAGTGATAGATGTCCGATTCAAAAAAAACAACAAGGGAAAACAGACAAATATCCATTTCAAGCAAACGGAAGCCATTTCACCCTCAAAAGACCAAAATGGGTGGTTGTGTCCTTCCCCAAAACTTTGATCAACCCCCAAATATTAGGTTTTATACTTTTATTCAGATTACCCTTTAAACCACATTCGCCGGTCTCTCCTTTTGGTCCCCCTTTAACCCCCCCCCCAAAAGCAGGTACCCTCAACCCACCCTCGACAATACCCCCCCACCCCCCCGAGTTCTCGGCGCCTGAGCTCCGGGAGAAGAGCTCCACCAGGCCGCAGAGCGCCAGCAGCGCCAGCGGCGCCAGGGGCGACAGCACCGCACCCCAGAACCGGGTCTGCGCGGAGCCGTAGGAGCACTCCAAACTCAGCGCGTCCTGGCGGACGAGAAAAGGTGATGCGTATATTATATATATGTTTCTGTATATATATATATATATGTATGTGTATACGTATAATGAAGCAACATTGGGCTTGAAAGAAAACAAGAAAACACGCATCGGGCTGTTATAAAAACCCGATGCTTTTCTCCGTGGACCCTTGGAGGCTCTAATCATCCTTCGAGCAAAAGAAACAACTTGTCGGCTGCCCTTGTCAAAAAAAGAAAAGAAGAAGAAGACAAAAAGAGAAAAACACCAAAACTTGTCAGTGAACTCCTGTAGTATGGACGTGGGAGGGATATGGGCGTGGTTTTGTTTAAAGGTATAACCAGTTTGTCTGAATCCCTTGGTGTGGCTACCCTCCAATAAAACACCAGTTATGCCCTGCCCGGCGGAAATTTGAACCCAAAGGCGGTATCACAAAAGTGGAAACCTGCACCACCTTCCGTCCGAACCCAATGTTCCTACCTCTTTGCACCCGAACAAAATGATCTGGGTAGAGCCGCCGACAGTTCCCTGATATTCACTGGCTGGGGTTCCAACTTGAGACGTGAGACGGTAGCCGCACGAAAGATGGGGTCCAGCTTCGGTTCCTGGAAAAAAGGGGATGTGTTTTCGAGGTTCAAGGTTGGTTTAAATCAATATCAACAAAAGAACAAGCGCCATTTCCTGGAGGTTCAAATGGATGTGGACGACCCCAAATGGGTGGGTATTGCTTTTGGTTTCCCGACAAAAGACAAGACGAACCCCTGTTCAGGGTACCGAGCGTCCAAAGGCGCCGTGCAAAATAGACCCTACGTGTCATTTGGCAAGGTGATGTAAACTGCTAAATGCTAAACCTTCACCCAAAAACTGGTTGACCAAAACAATGAATTTAGTGGATTCTTTGCAAGGAAAGGACCAGCGCCATCGCCTCCAAAAAACCGCCAAGCACCCGCGGCTTCGGGACGAAGCCTGGAGGCCCTGGGCGGAGAGCTGCAGCCACTGGACGTAGGGCTGCTCCCAGAACGCCACCGCGAAGCCCTTCTCGGCCTGAGAAAGGACGCGATCACAAAGGTGTCCGATGTAGGAAGCCAACCATGGTGGGTGGTGGGTGGTGGGTGGTGGGTGGTGGGGAGGTGGGTGACTGGGTGACCCGGTGACTGGGTGGTGGGTGGTGGGGTGGTGGGGTTGAGTGGGTGGTTGGTGGTGTGGTGGTGGGTGGTGGGTGGTGGGTGGTGGGTGGTGGGGTGTTGGGTGGTGGGTGGTGGGGTGGTGTGGTGGTGGGTGGTGGGGTGGTGGGTGGAGGGTGGTGGGTGGGTGGGTGGTGGGTGGTGGGTGGTGGGGTGGTGGGTGGTGGCGGTGGTGGGTGGTGGGTGGTGGGGTTTGGGTGGTGGGGTGGTGGGTGGTGGGTGGTGGGTGGTGGGTGGTGGTGGGTGGTGGGTGGTGGTGGTGGGTGGTGGGTGGTGGGTGGTGGGTGGTGGGTGGTGGGTGGTGGGTGGTGGGTGGTGGGTGGTGGGTGGTGGGTGGTGGGTGTGTGGTGTGTGGTGGGTGGTGGGTGTGTGGTGTGTGGTGGGTGGTGGGTGTGTGGTGTGTGGTGGGTGGGTGGTGGGTGGTGGGTGGTGGGTGGTGGGTGGTGGGTGGTGGGTGGTGGGTGGCGGGTGGCGGGTGGCGGGTGGCGGGTGGCGGGTGGCGGGTGGTGGGTGGTGGGTGGTGGGTGGGTGGTGGGTGGTGGGTGGGATGTGGGTGGTGGGTGGTGGGTGGTGGGTGGTTGGTTTGTAGGTTGTGGGTTGTGGGTTAACGGCAACACAGTGAGTTGAATCGCTCATTTTGCCCGCAAGTGAGCTCGTGATCATTTGTGCACATCTATTCAGCCCCTGCTCTCCCCCGTTTCAGCAAGAGCACTCTTCAGTCGACCCTCTCCCTTCCCTCCCCCCCCCCCCCAAAACCCCCCCCTTCTTCGCGAGGGGCCACGCCTTGGTGTCCAATTTGGTGGTACCCAGCTTCGCCACCACGACCCACAGCTGGCCCAGCTGCAGCAACAGCGGCCCTTGGGACACGAGCAGCGCCAGCGCTGCCTTCTTCGCATCCGGAACCCCAGCCGACGGCTCGGGCTCCGACGCTCGCCTTGGGGAGGTCCACCAAAAACGGCAACTTGGGGCAGGTCCTTTTTCTTGGATTGCGCGAGCAACTCTCCAAGTTGAACAAAGGTGGATTCAACACTCCGGGCAAACAGGCTCGGCCACTTTCGCCAGATCGCTCAAAAAACCACACGCGCACCCTCACAAACAAACACACAAACAGCAAGGAAAGCACAAAAATACACTAAAAAACGAAAACGCTTTCTCCCTCCCCGGCTTCCTCCCGGCCCGCCTGCGCCACACGAATCCCGCGATGGCCAACCCAGCGACGCCCAAGACCAGCGCCGCGCCCAGCGCCCGCTTCCTCGGGCCGGCGGCGCAGGGCTTGCAGAGGTGGCCGGCGGAGTGGCTCCCCTCCGCGCAGCTGATGCACAAAGGCCCCGCGTAGCCTCGAAGAGATGTCTGCTCGAGCTGTCCGTTTTCGGATCCGAAGTGGCGAACTTGTGAAGTGAACCCGCCAAACAAAAAGGGGCAAAGGGTGCACTGAACAACTGGGACCAGTATGCTCGATGTTGGGATCGATTAATCCAGATCTTCACCCCTAGTGAGGGGGAACAACAGTCCATGTGAAAACCACACCAGTCACTAAGACCCTCAGGAACCTCAGTCAGAGAGGATCCCGGTTCTATTCAAAAGGAAAGGCTCCAACTTTGAGGGTGCCCTTGGGTTCGGAAAACCCGCCAACCTAAAAAAAGTGGCACAATGCTTGCTGGTAGGGCTCCAAGCTCCAGAATATATGAGCAATGGTCAAAAATGGCTTTTTGTGCTTGCCCCAAGAGAACATGGGAAGCTTAGTGATTCCCCTTGCTTGTGTGGGGAAACTAGTGAGTCCCGCATGTCCCTCCCAAATGGACCGTTCACTGGAAATATGAACTGGACCTGTTTCCACCAAACGGATCCCAGGAATACGTGGGTGAGGACCCCAATTTCTGCCTGTGGCTTCCCAAGCCATGTCCAGCCCTGCAAGAGCACTCATGAACTGCGAGATGTTCTACGGACACGGGTACTTGAAGAGCCCCTAGGGAGACGCAATTTGAAAAAAGTTGCAAGGAATTTCCTCCACTCCTTGTCAGGTGCCGATGTGTATGGGAGTGTACTTGTTTCCGTTGTCAAGTTTGGAAATAGAAGGCATGGTCGGCTGGCAAGCGAGTTGCTCTCGAAAAGAAGACTCGCGAACCCAGGTTGTGGATGTGTCAAACGGCCAAAACATTTGGTTTGGTATCTGCGGTCCCATCGTTGCCATGGAACCTCACTGAATCGCTTGCGAGTTTCCCACGGCAAATTGGGTGTGTCCCTTTTTGGGGGAACCCGAAAAACGGCGGCTTATCTATTGCTTTCCTTTCAAAGCCATGGTTTTAAGAAGGTTTCCCCAAAAAAGGACACAAAGCCGAGGGCAACGCCGCTAGGTGCCGCTGCTTCGGGGCCCTTCGGGTCGAGCTGCCGGGCGCGCACTGCCCATCCTTCGAAGATGTGCAGCGCGTGGCGGCGGGCTCCAAGCACCTGGGCTAGGCAGCAGCCACTCCAACCCCCCACCCCCCCCACCCCCCCCCAACCTCCCTGTGCTGATAAGGGCCCATCCCAAAAAAAAAAGAAGGAAAAAACACCGGGAATCTTCAGGCGATCGCGGGAAACAGGTTGAATTGCCTAGGTGGTGTGGGATTATTTTGGTATGCGGAGACAAGGAGTGGAATACTGTGAAG